TATCCATTCATCACTTGATGGACATTTAGGCTCTTTCCATAATTTGGCTATTGTTGAGAGTGCTGCTATAAACATTGGGGTACAAGTGCCCCTATGCATCAGTACTCCTGTATCCCTTGGGTAAATTCCTAGCAGTGCTATTGCTGGGTCACAGGGTAGATCTATTTTAATTTTTTGAGGAACCTCCACACCGTTTTCCAGAGCGGCTGCGCCAGTTTGCATTCCCATCTACAACGCTTTTATAAGCAAAACAAGCACAATTAGGAAAGGAAAGTCAGACGTTCTACCTTCCTTGAGCTCCTTCCCCCTCCTGTCCTGCCCCCTTACCAAGTGGGTCCTCCTCCTCATCCTCCTCCTCCCCGGAGCCGTGCAGGTGCTGCCGGAGGTGCTGAGTGACATGCTCGCAGAACTCCTCCATGGCTGAGCACACAAAGGAGCAGGACCCCCACTCACACTGTAGCCCCAGATTCTCCTTTCGGGGAACTTTCCCAGGGGGCGGCATGGCCTTCACCCTAGAGTGGAAAGAAACCCACAGCTGCAAGGATTCCACCCAAACGCCACCAGGGGGTGAACGGCTGGGCTGACAGGCTGCCTAGAGGCGGCAGCAGGCACCTTCTCCCGTGACCTGTGAGAAACCCTGTGCTTTTTCAATAAGGATGGAGTAGCAGTTCCTCAAACCCCTGGAAGCTGTCTGGCGTTCTTGGGAAGGGAAAAACACACTAACATTATTGAGCGTGTGCCAGGCACTGAGCTAAGAACTTTAAAGGCCCATTTCTCTTGAAGCTTCAGAGCAACTGGCCAAGAAGGAATTAATTATTCCAATGGGATGCAGAACAACGCACAGGTTCAAAGAGATGGCTCTGGACAAGGAAGAGACTTCAAATCTAGACTCCTGTGTCCGCCACCTACTAGCTGTGTGACCTTGGCCAAGTAACTTAACCCTTCTGTTCCTGAACATCCTCATCTTCAAAACGGGGATAGCAAAACCTTTTGTTGTTAATTTCACACTTAACTATATGTCAAGCATCATACTAAGCATATTATATTATGTCACTGAATTACCAACACCACCCTATGAGGTAAGTACTATTTTTGACTTCATTTACAAATAGGAACCTCTGGCTCAGAGAGGTTAACTGGTTTGTTCAAGGTCACACACTACTCGTGTGGTAGGGTCACGTCAGGCTGACTCCAAAGTCCATATTCTTTCCACACGGCTTACAGATGAGCCCAGAAGCTCTTTATTTTTCACTGCATCATGTCCTAAATTCCCACCAGACTTTCAAACTGCCATACTATCAGCCTTTGCCTAATCTATCCAGTGGTTACTCACCACTCCCCTGACATTCTCTGAACTAAAATGTCTATTTAATCCTTGAACAGAGATTTGAACTGTGCGGGTCCATTTATATGCAGACTTTTAAAATACTTTTCAAATACATTGGAAAATTTTGGGATATTTGCAACAATTTGAAAAACTTTGCAAATGAACTGTGTAGCCTAGAAATATTTTTAAAAATTAGGGGTGTCTGGGTGGCTCAGTCAGTAAAGGGTCTGACTTTGGCTCAGATCATGATCTCGCGGTTCTTGAGTTTAAGCCCCACATCAGGCTCTGTGCTGACAGCTCAGAGCCTGGAGCCTGCTTCATATTATCTATCTCCCTCTCTCTCTGCCCCTCCCCTGCTCACACTGTCTCTAAAAAAAATAAGAAAAAGGTAGGTCACAAACACATAAAATATATGTAGACACCAGTCTTTCATTATTTAATACCATAAAATATATACAAATCTATTAAAAAAGTTAAAATTTATCAGGGCACCAGCCTGGCTCAGTCAGTGGAGCATATAATTCTTGATCTTGGGGTCATGAGTTTGAGCCCCACACTGGGTGTAGAGATTACTTAAAAAAATTTTTTATTAAGTTAAAATTTATCAAAACTTACACACACACCTACAGACTGTCATCTTTTCATTTTTGACATCTAGTGTTAGTAACACATGTAACATCTGCAGTGTTGTTGTTTTTACATAAGACAATATTTTTTTAAGTTTATTTATTAAGAGAGAGAGAATTTATTAAGAGAGAGAATAATTTAATTATTAAGAGAGACAGGCTCTGCACTGTCAGCACAGAGCTCGATGCGGGGCTCAAACTCACGACCCGTGAGATCATGACCTGAGCCAAAACCAAGAGTCAGATGCTTAACCGACAGTAGAGCTATTAGTAGTTAAGCTTTGGGGGAGTCAAAAGTTATACATGGATTTTTGATTGCGTAAGGGTTGGCACCCCAACCTCCACATTGTTCAAGGGTCAAGTACAGATTCCATTTGAACAAAAGAGGCCTTATCTGTCTAGCTGATATCGTACCTTGGGTATTTACAGTGCTAGTCATGCTTAGGCCTATAACAAATGCCTGTTGAAGAAAGCTGAATAAGAACCTGCAGGTTCTCCACCTTTAATATGAATTCAATTGCAGGGTTCTCTAGACACCCTGCCAGAGATTCGGATTCAGGTAGGCTGGGGTTAAGCTTAGAAATCTGCCCTTTTACCTCGGCACCCCAGTTCTGATGCAGGCAGTTCCAGAAGCACAGTTTGTGGAACAATAAAAGAATAGTTTCCCTCATTAAAAGGAAACAGAATGACAGAGGACAACAGTGAAAGCAAAAGTCCAGGGACAAGAGAGGACACTAAGAGGCCTTGACTCTGCCTGGTGTGTCACCTCTGGGCGGATGTTAACTGATTGTCGCTGCCCTAGAAGGGAGCAAGGCACTGGTCTACCTGACAGAGCTGGGAACTCTGGGAAAGGCCTTTACTTACTACACATGGAGAAGAAAAAGAAAAAAAAAACACAGAAAAAACAAAACACGTGAAATCCTTCATGACTACAAGTTCAAGAACCTCTTATACCTAACTGCTTATCAGAGAAACCCCTTTTTAATCTAAGGCTTTTGCCCCTCCTCCGAGAAGCCAGTCACCTCGGACACTCTGGGATGTCCATGGGGCTGCTGGGCTGCTCGAGACTAACAGTGAACCTTATCAGGATAAAACGTTCACTGTTTTTATAACATTGGGGTAGGAAAAGTAGGGAACACCTTCCTAAGGCAGACACAACATCCCAAACCTCCTCTAACTCTCTGCCTACGGGATTCAAGTCCACCTAGTACCGCATGCAAAGCTCTTCAACTGGCCTCAACTTACTTCTCCAGGAACTGGGTAAAGAAACTAACCCTTCTTGAGGGCCTACCATGAGTCAGCCCTGTGGAAACTTCTCTTCCAAAGTTCATTTCAAAGTGAGAGCGCCCAGACTCTAACCCAAAGATCACACCCTCCTCCTCTACACCATGCTGCTGCTCTGGCTTCCTCTCCCATTCATTCGTTCCTCTTCCTCTCTGATTCAATGAACTTTATCTTAAACACATCACGTTCTCCTCAAGCTCTCTGCCTGAGAAACTTCTCCCTACCCTTCAAGCCCAATGTCCCCTCCTTGATGAGTTCTTTCCCAATTCATCCAGGTGCAGCTGGAATATCTACCTGCTGTCCCCACAGCACTGTGCACACCTTCATTATGGTGTTGCTACAGTGGAATGGAAGGTCTGTCTCCCCCAGACTAGGAGCTTCTCAGGGCAGGGACCATCACCCCTTCATTGCCTATTCCCAACATTAGCACAGAGCTCTGTACTCCCCAGACACTCAATAAATGTCAGCATCTGATCACATTCCAGGAAGCTTTCCAAAACTACCCACCCTCAGGTTATGCTTGCCTCTTGGTTCTATGTCTGGCATAGATAATGCCAGAAAATCTCGACCTATTTGTATGCTGCCCATGGTCACTCATGGTCATTTGATATGTTCTATTCTCATTTACCCAATGGGACAATCTTAGCTGCTTCTGGGCAGAAACCGCATCACACCCACCTGTTGTTGACTGGTGGGCAAGACCCAGGAGATGGGTTATCTAGATATCGAGAACGACCTGAACCTTAGGCAAAGCTCCCCGAATCCCGCTTTTTTT